GAAGTCTCTTATATCCGGGTTTCTCTTATATCTGAGTTTGGTCTATTTTATATACATTAACACAGGCTCTAATTAGGGACCAAAGAAAATCTCTCTTATATCTGGGTCACACTGTATTTAAATGTTATAAAAAACCGAACCATCTTTTCTTTTCATATGCCATGTCCTTTCAGGATGTAGGTGAACATGACTCTCCACCTTCCCGTATCCCTTGCGGCTCTCAACAAGTTCCTTCCCTCTGCTTCCTTCCCCAGACCATGTTCTGTCATCCACTTGCTTAAGCTTGCCAGGTATGTCACATGTTGTTTTCCCTTGTCTCTTTTTCCCTCTGTTCGATCTGTGAGTATCAGTTTCTCCAGGCCCTCCTTCCTTATTATGTGTCCCAGAAACTTCAGCTGCTTCTTCCTGAGGTTAAATATAAGCCTGCTTCTTGTCTACACCCTTTCTAAGACCTCATCATTGCTCACATGCTCGGTCATGATATCCTTAACATCTCTGTCACCTTGAATCTCCTCTTCATCTTTGAGGAAATCGTCCAACATTCGCTGCCGTAAAGAAGGACAGATGTCACGTAACAGCTCAGTATTCTGTTACGAATACTCTGCTCAGAAATATGAACTTACTTCATTTTAATGCTTCTATTCAACTATTATGTGTGCCTAGTGGTGTTGCGCAATTTCTTCAGTGTTTGGTGAAATGTGCAATAAGCAGAACCTCATTTCTTCTTCAGTGGAGCATAGTATCGCTTATTTTTGATGTTATTTAGGGTTGAGAAACTTCAACAATATTAGTTCATAATTTGATATAACTTTCTAAAAATTTTGAATTAAACAAAGAACATTGAATACAGTTGTATCAAAAAAGGGTTAATATTCATTTATTCAAATAAAGGAAAACTTTACAAAGTTAAATGGTGCCAAATAAAACCATGTATTTTTAAAAAAACTACACATAGAGAAATGAATTTATTTTATTTCAATGTTTCTATTCAACTATTTGTGCAGCTTATTTAGTATAAAACCTGAACCTGGTGTTTTTTCACAATTTCTTCAATGTTTGGATGAATGTGTGATAAGCAGACCTTCATTTCTTTTTCAGTTGAGCGTAGTCTTTCTCTCTCCTTATTTTTTATATTATTTAGGGTTGAAAAGCCTAATTCACATAAATAAGAAGTAGAAAGTTACAATAAAACTGATTTTTGTAATGCTCATTTGTAGGAGAGACTTTGTAAATCACAGATACAATAATAGTAACATCTTCAAACAATACTCAGTCAGATGCCACTAATTTCCATATATATATATATATATATATATATATATATATATATATATATATATTTCCTTTATCTATCATGTGATCTAATTATTTCAAGTTGAGGTCGACTATGCTTGCTCTCTGGTGACCTGTGTTCAAACCCAAGTGTTGGCAGTGACACTTTATTCCTATATGACACTGATAAAGACATTTTAGCTAATGTGGGATAAAAAGTTTAATACTTATTCATTTATTCAAATACTAATGCTGTACTATTTTGTGATACACTTAAGAGGATTACGTGAGACACTAGTGCACAGTGGTTGGTGAATCGCTGGACTAAAGGTTAACGAACCACAAAAACAAATCGATCAAAACATAAACTAAAAGCAGTAGCAAACGAATTTACTCATGTAAATGACAAGTGTAAGGAATTGGAATAAATTTTAACAAGGTGATATTTTATATTTTCAGTTTTTATATAACCAAGTGAAAAAGAGAAAATACACTAGTATGTAAAAGGAAGACAGTGAACAGTTTGGTGCGCGTGTGTGCGTATGTGAAGAAGCTTGTGTTGTGGCCTGTTAGAGGCCAGAAAGTAAGACATGGAAAGAAGGTATGTTGAATAAGTATATTGAAATAACAGAAAATATATACAAAATAAGAGTGTTATTAGTCAACAGATAGAAGTGTCTATCCAAACTGTCAGTTTACATTGTGTTATGACTGCCCTCTTAGGAAGTCTTGCAGGTTAGTATTTATGAAGGAGGAAGCGTTCATTCTAAGGTAGATAGGTCACCATAACAGTTTGGTCACTAAAGGGAAAGATATCACCATGCCTGGGAAGGTCCTTGTTGTTGTTGTCACTTCTACCACATGCTTGATTGATTGATTTGTTTTTTTTTTTATTTTTACAGAGTATCAACCTTTTGCATATTATTTAAAATCAGAAAATATTATTAGAATGTAAGAATTTTTTTTTTTTTTTTTTATTAATGAAAGAACAAATTTTTTGTTGATAACAAAACCTGCAAAAAGACATTTGTGAGGCTCTTTGTTTTCATCTTTTTTCTTTTTTAACAATAACGTTTACCTTGTCTAAGGCCCAAGAGCCACTGGAGGTAGAGGGTTACTGAGTAAGAGGTAAGAAGCACAGTTTATGAGGATATGTGAGGAAGATAACAATTAACCTTAGACTTAAACAGGTTAAGATTGTATTGATTGGGAAAGCATCCCTTTGGAAGTAGGTTTCCTGAAGTACAGGTTGAGAAACCTTTATCCGAAATTCTTGGCATTGGAAGTGCTTTGGTTTTCAGATTTTTTTTTTATTTTGGAATACAAGGTATTTAATCTGTATATAACATCTTTAAAATGGGACAATTTGGGATTGGAACCCAAGCATAAACATGATATTCCTTTACATTTCATAACACAACTTATACATATACCCTGAAAGTAGTTTTATATAAAATTTATTAAATTTTTTATATGTACAGTTACATATAATGCTTATCATGGATTTTTGAGTGGTGAAATTAAGATTTCATGTAAAAAAATAATTTTGTGTACTTTCTGTATATGTACAAAAAAAACCATAATCACAACTTAGAAAAAATATATAAATGGAGGACTTTTTGACATTTCGAATAATATCTTTACTGAGCATGAAACATCTGTTAAATACACATAAAGATTTGGCTGTGACGATCACTAACCAAAATCTGGTACCAATGGTGTAGGCTATGTCGCTGAGCTGTGGAACCTCCAAAAAGGGTCAATGAGGTCACTTACAACAGTTGCATATTACCTTGGAACCTTCCCAATGCTTTCTGAAATTTTCCACTTGTGGCAAGTCTTGTCAGCACATGAAAAGCTTTGATTTTGGAATTTCTGATAAAGGATACTCATTCTGTAGTTGTTTGTGAGAAGAAACTGTTCGAGTGGAACGTAAATTTCACCAATGGAATACAAAGCGAATGAGGGTGATTCACTACAATGTGCATGGCAAGGCAAGTCTTACACTATTTACATTGCCTGGACTATCATCCTCATCTTTGCTGCCATATTTATCACAATGTTTTGGCTGTTGTACACTTTGGTCTTCTTCAGGTGGTTGGAATATCAAATTGAATCCTTTATTTCACTTGCTGGGTAGACTGTTCTAGTTCTACATTCCATGTCTAATGGATGTCAGTTATCTCCTGTTAATTCCCCTCTCCAAGTTCTCCACCGCCTTAACCAGGTATTGAACTTACACTCTTTGGGTCCTGTCACTGATCTAACTAACACCTTTATCCACTGTACCCTGTGTCCTTGAGGACATAGTGGAACTCGAACAGTCTACCCAAGCTAGTGAAATAAAGTGTTGAGTTCGACATTCCAACTACCTGAAGAAGGTTGGAGTGTACAGCGGCTGATAAATATGGCAACAAAGATGAGAATGATAGCCCGAGCAATGTAAATAGTGTACATAATACCTCATCTCAGATATATAGACCGATGCTGAAGGTGGGTCTTACCTGTAAAGGTGAGAATTGGTGGAACTGAGGTGTGTGGTTCTTCTGAACACTTTTCATGTAAATAGTGATAGAATAGGAACATTTCATGTGCATAATAAGGGTTTTAGGGTGGAAAATAATTCATCTTTGTTTTAGAAGTTACATGCTTTCTTCAATAAGCAGACCAGCCTGCAGTCTGTATTTATAATAATGGTAAGGTTAGCCGTTTCCTTCCATGAAAACATTCAGCATTCATTGACCAAATAGCATTACTGACAGGAGAAATTTATAAAATATCTCTCTTGAAACAGTTTTTCAAGAAAACAGGTTTCTCAAGTCCACTCTTCCTCATATTGATGGGAGTTTCCATCCTAACCTTTTGTTTCAGGTAGTGAGGAAATCAGTATCTTGATTATGACATTATTTTTACTTCTAGTTACATGTCCTACTGATTTTAATTGTTGCTGTTGGAATTTTTCAAGTCATTTGTTTTTTGTTTTTTTATTTATTAAATTTTTTTTGCGATTCAGTAGCACCAGTCTAATCTTACTTATTATAAAATGCAGATTGTGTGTGTGTGTGTGTGTGTGTGTGTGTGTGTGTCTGTACGTTTATATATTGGATCGGATTTCCTACATTTTTCAACCGATTTCAACAAAACTTCACAGGACTACGTAAAATTACCTTGCGGTGGTTCTAACAGTTGGAAAAAATGGAAAAACACAATTGTTTTTGCATAAAATCAATTTGAAAACACGATTAAGAGGCATCACGAGAATGAAAGGGGGACAACTCATATCGAGTTATACTTACTATAAAACCCAGGTTATTTGTGTGTGTGTTCGTTTATATATGGGATCGGATTTCCTACATTTTTCAACCGATTTCAACAAAACTTCACTTTTTTTTTTGGCAGGTAGTGTTTCTTATTGTCTTGCACACTTTTTTCTTTATTTTTACATTCAGAACACTTTAAAAATTCCATTTACAAGACAATTGTTTTATAATAACATTTTATTCAATCGGTAGACTCATGACGATTGAAAACAATGTTTTTGTTTGAGTTTGGGTTTGACCAATTCGTAAATAAAAAAATATAATTAAGACATGCGTGTCCATCAACGTTAAACAATAATCTTTGTCAATTTTATTTTTCAGTCTTTATGATAGTCGATACTTGATCTATCTCTTACTGTTACATCCCCGGGCAACGCCGGGCTCTACTGCTAGTAATGATTAAGGCTTATGGCCACATCCTGTTGAAATATTGGTTCCCATATGATCTCCAAAGTTAAGCAATGTCAAGCCTGGTCAGTACATAGATGGATAACCACTTGTAAGTACCAGGTGCTGTAAGCTCGAATGTGCAAGTGGTCTAATGTAGTGCTTCTCAAAATATATGTTATGGCAGACTGGCATTTTTTTTTCCACAATGTGTTACATACATATATTTTGTGGTAATATTAATTTATACTGGAAATGATATATGTAATGAATTTAATAAAAGTTGACTATTTTTTATCTTCCATTTATTTTTCAAAAAATAATTCAATATCAAAACATATAAAAAGTAATAAAAAATAAGCAGTTTATTAAGACAAAAACAAAAATTATATAAACTTAATCTTCATAAATGATTCCTTAGTATGGCCTGGACACTGGCCATGTCCCAGTAACTGATGGTTCGCGTACTGGCACTGGTCCACGGACTACCACTTTGAGTAGCACTGGTCTAATGGATAATGGCATGGAACTGTTAATCAGAGTGCTGAGTTCTAATTCCTATTCCTGTTGAGTTATATTCACTTACATGCAGATACCCTTGGGAAAGGTATGAATCTACATCCTGTCCCTCCAGCTATGGGTTAATTAGTAACACATTATCACTAAACCATTATTATATCCAAAAAAAGTTTTTAAAATATAAAAATATTTTCTGGCTTTAAATAACCTGCAATGGGTTGATAAACCATAAAAAATGAACCATGTTAACATTCAGCATTCTTCGACCAAAGAGCATTGCTGACAGCAAAAATTTATCAAATATTTATCTTAAAACAGTTTTTCAGGAAAATAGGCTTCTGATATTGATGGGTGTTTCCTTCCTAACCTTTTGTTTAAGGTTGTGTGGAACGTTAACATCTTGATGATGACATTATTTTCCCTTTTAGTTAAATGTGTTACCCATGTGTCGTAATTGGAAGTTTTCAAGTGATGTGGTTTTTGTTATTTGGTAACGTTCTTTGTGATTCTGTAGCGCCAGTCCACAAGATCTAATGAAGGACAATCCTCTTGAAAACCTCCAAAGTTCATTCAGTTGAACCCATTGTTAATCATTGATCTAAGAAAATTGTTGAATATAGCTGATAGTTTAGTAATTTCTGAATGAGTTGGATGTCATGCATGCCATCTGTATGGGAGCCTAGATCTGATAAGTATTTAAATACATGACTCTAGTTCTAGGTTTAATATTTTGGTTTTATAGCATCTTAAATTGTTGAACAAAACTACTACTAGTGCAATAACTCTCTGTCTTTCTCTCTCTCTCTCTCAGGTACTTACCATCAATGTTAGCTACATGATGAGACATTGTTCTTTCAATGTTGAAACAAAATGTCCAATTTTGTAGTGGTTACTTACATGTTCTAATGTAACAATATATATATGTAACAGTGTATAATAAATATTTATTGCTCTACTTTTGTATTGAGCCCTGTTTTAAATTACTGTTTTGAATGCTGCAATTTTATTTGTTTGTTTATATTTGTGTGTGTGTAATATATATATATATATATATATATATATATATATATATATACACGGTACTTATTGGAAAGTGCTCAATATCAGTGATAGAACTAACACATTTAGTTGCGTTGATGTGAGTTTGTGAACCTGAGTTTGCTATCGTCAGTTAAAGAGCTTATCTGACGATTGCAAAGGGCATGAAACCCAGGATCATCAATGTAACTATATATATATATATATATATATGCACACACACAAGTATATAATTGGTGTATATGGAATGAATTTTAAAGATCTGAATAGCTATTATAACATGATTTCGTTGTCAAGCTTTTGAATCTTCCTATACTTGGGTTTTGATTGGTCATCCTAGCTTTTGTAACAATGTTTTCCCCTAGCGAAGGATCGTTAATTAATTTAAACTTTTCAAACCGTTTATTTTACATTCAACATCATCACTTGATAAGACACTGTGGGTGTTGAAACAAAAGGACTATTTTTGTAGTGATTTTATAACATATTTATATTATAAATTTTTTTTTTTAAATAATTCTATAATATTTTTATTATAAAATATTTTACATTGCTACACAAAGATTTCTATTTTGGAAATTGTGCCTGATGATTGAACAATTTTTAAGTTTTGAAACATAGAAATTGTGTAGTGAAAAAATAATAAAAATATTATTACAATATTTTGTTCTATATTGTATCAAGCACTTTTTAAAAAAGTACATGCTAAGAACGGTGGATTCTTAATCTGTCTCATTTTTCTTTATATATATATATATAGAGAGAGAGAGAGAGATAAGGAGGGAAAAAATTTTTAGGTGATGTGTTTCGTCTTGAAGGAGAGGAAGGATGTCCTTGGTTTATCCAGGCTTTTAAATTTGATAATGTTCATAAATATTCATTAGGTGGTTGAAAGGTCAGTCAAACCATGTGAAGGACACAAAGTATCATAATTCAGTCTGATAAGACAAAAGTGAGTGAGTAATATTCAAGAAATATTTTTCTTTTGTCTTTTTATTCATTTTATGGATACACTCTAACTGATGACAATTTACACACACGCACACACACACACATACATAGTGTGATTGGTCACGAATCCCTTGACCAATCAGGGTCGTAGCTGCAGTAGAATTGGTGTATCTTGGGGAAGAGAGCCTGATGAAGCCCAACCCTCTCCAGGCTGATTTTGAATTCAGAGATACCTTCTCTTAGACTGGTTACCACCCAAGTCTGTCCTACTATTTACCCATAGTCGGGGGGAGGGAGAAAAGAAGTAGTTTCATACCTTTACCAAAGGTATTAGCATGTAAGTGAATACAATGGATTCTATTCTACGGTTCGAGCCAGTCTATTCTACTTTTGTAGAACTTATACTTGTTCAGGTGCTAGTTTTTCCAATAATTTCTCAGTCAGTCAAATCTATCTTTGTAACAGCAGATTTAAAATTAATTCTTGTACTTTTAAATGATTAATGATCTTGTGTGCAAAATACAAATACTAGCATAAGTAAATTATTTCCTTCATCATCATTCAACCATAGTCGGGATCATTGAGCCAGTGCAAATGATCCTTTCTTTAGCTGTATAGTATGTGCTATGCCTGGGCTACATAGTCTTGAACTCAGAGTTACTTTCTCCTAGACTGGTTGCCATCTAAGGCTATAGCATCCAGTCTGTCCTGCTATTTACCCATAGCCAGGGTGCAGATATAGAGGATTCATACCTTTCCCAAGTGAATGTAATGAATCCGACTGAAATTCAAACTTGGCTCTCTGATTCCTCATTCCAAGCCACTTTCCATTACTTCCTTGTGCCTCCTATATATATATATATATATATATATATATATATATTATATGTGTGTTATATAGGAATAAAGTGTTGCTGCCAACACTGGAGTTTGAACACGGATCACCAGAGAGCAAACACAGGCGAACCCATTTTGAATAATACATCATGCGATTGTAAAGGAAATATATATATATGGGAATTAGTGTGGTATGGATTACTATTTGGATCACTATTCTGTGATTACTTTTTGAGTGAGTATTATCGAGCAAGTACTATTAGCGCGAGTGTTATTTGAAGGTACCTGACACCAGTATTGTTCAACGGCGTTATTATATTTGTATCTACAATTACAAAGTCTTTACTACAGTGAGCATTATAAAAGTGATAACGAGTATTTGTTGACATCACAAAATATGTATTAATCCTATTGTTGCAACCTAGGGATGGTTACTGAATAGAATAATCACACAAAGGTTGGTAATGAATGATAATACTTATTACACAAACAACTTATATAGGATTTTCTAGCGGCACATAGAAGTAGTAGTCAACTGCTAGAAGTGAGTCAAGTGAATTCTATAATGAATCTCCAACTGCCGACCAACATATAGTATTTACTACTGTATTTATGTGATTTTATCATCCGTAAATTTGCTGCAACACTTTGTTATAACTAATCCATATACTCAGGTATTTGAAATGTTTAGTATTTATTAATTTTACTAAATTTTTATGGGGAGTTGTTTACTTCCACTAATTAGAAGTTCTAGTTGGATTCATTATTGGCAGTCACAATCTTCAAAACATATGTTGATGACACAGAAAGAAAACTACAAGGACTCCTCCAGATGGTAGTGAAGGAAGGTGAGAAGAAAGGACTAAATGTAAATTACAAGAAGACTGAATGTATGGTTTGTAGCAAAAGAAACAGCCCAACATACAAATTACAAATTGGAGATAACAAAATCAGACATGTACGAAAATTTAGATATCAGGGAAGTGTTTTAACAGAGGACGGAAAGTGTGACACTGAAATCAGAATGTGCATTGGGATAGCCAAAGATGCCTTTCAAAAGCTGAGCAAAGTATTAAGAAATATAAAAATATTGTCAGAAACAAAGCATACTGAGCTGTTATGCAATATAACTTCACATAAATGGCAGTGAATCCTGAACAATCTTGCAGATGAAGAAGAAACTTGAAGCATCAGAAACACTACAGAACAAACATGTGAGCAATGACTAAGTTCTAGAGATAATGGCAACAAAATAGATACTTAACATCAAGAATAGATATTTGAATTTTCTGGGGGACATATTGAGAGAAGCAGGCTTGAAAAATTTGAAAACTCACAGGACAGAATGAAAGCAAGGAAGACAATAAAGCAACAGAACCTACCCTGACAAGCTTGAGTGAATGTGTAGTGGAGTAGGGTTTGGGAGAGATGACAAAAAGATAGAATTTATTAAGAGCTATGAAGGACATGGAATTGCAGTGAGCCCTGATCACCAACACCCTGAAAGGACATAACATAGAAGAAGATGATAACCAGTTTTGAACTCTTTCGGTTAGTATTAGTAGAATTGTTCTGTTTTCCTATTATCTTTCTATTACTACTATGAAATATTTGAACCTCCCACAAAGTGTTTTTTCTTAATATTTGGCAAGTCAAATTTTCATGATTAGTCAAGCAACTTTCTAAATTCCTCTGTCAAGTAACTACAAGGAGTTTCTGGTTCTAGTCATAATATTTGTGAAAATTACAAACACATGACCGTAAAGTAAAAATTTTGGTAAGTTAAAT